CAAAAACAAAGGAAATAATACTTTATTTATTGCCCTAGTACAAATCAAGAATAACTGCATTATGATCAAGTAGAAATAAAGTGTCTCCTTTCAAAATCTGATTCAAGGGAGCTTTGAGATCATTAGACTAGATTTAAGTTAACATCTCCAGTCAGGAATGTTTAAGCTCTAAAGGACAGCTGTTAGAAGTGGGAAAAGGGCAGTCGCAGAAAGAGGCTGATGATGGGGTTAGAAGGGAGAGTGGTCTGAGAAGAGACAGTAACGCTCGCGGGAGGGGAGATGCCTCCTCAGAAAAGGCAAATGAGTGGCCTCTGCTAAAGGCCGTCCTTTCTGCAGAGTAACACCTCAGTTAAATGCCACTGTTATGAACAGGGGTAATGACTCTGAGCTAGGTGTTGACGTAAGCAGCTATTCCAAAGGGACTTTGGCAGAATATTTATTCCACTATAGCTATTTAAGTCAATTGTCTTCTGCAAATAAAGCCAACTGGGCCATCAGGGTTCTTGGTCTGGCTTGAAGAAACAATGCGTTTTATGAAAAATCTGCCCAAATTCCCAGAAGAGGGAGAGTGGCAAGGCCGTCAGCTGGGGTCAATCAGAAATGAATGGGTTTGATTTTTCTTGGTGAAAAAAGTGAAAAAGCCAGTTATTCATTTTTGATGGAAGGAAGGGTTTTGCACAAGCATAATCAAAATATTTAATTTGCGGGGGCTAGTTTTCTTAAGTGGCTGGTAGAAACGTATTGATTGCTAAGGAAAAGAATGAAAAGTGTTAAAAAATGTGTTGTCTTTAATAGAGTTTACATTTCTGGTTTTGCCACGAGCATAATTTCAGCTTCTTACATGTGTATATGCAACTGTACTCAAATGAAAAATGGGAAAAAATGAAACATAATACAATGGCTAAGATACTTGTACATTTTTACTTACATATCAACATATTAACATTTCAGCCTCGTCCTCCACACATCACTTCAGATAATGACAGTTATTACTTCTGAGTGGCAGAAGTGTTTGCTGGACAGTAAGGCTGCTTGCCAGCTTGCTGTGACAAGTCAGGCTTTGTCACCTTCACTTAGCAAATAACAAAGCTAAAAGTTAGAACTGTCAGAGAGCGTTGTCCCTGGACGATGCACAAATAACAGCAAGACTGTTACTGAACATGCTGCACAATATTAAATTCTGTGTCTTTGGTTTAATCACAACGCCAGTAGATAGAACCTCAGGGATGTCGTGTCCGACAGCATTGTATCACCTATACATATTCATCATGCTCACCCAGGCATCCACCAAACATTACTGGGTGCCTGATTTTCCTTTAAATAATCAGGTTTTCTAAAGAGTTTGTTAAAACTGTAACTGGGTTTTTTGGTTTTTTATCTCCCAGGAAGGTAGGATTTCCTCCCTCTTGGACTGCCTGCATTTTGCAAGCATCCTTCAGAAAGCTGGGATCATGTTCATATGAGGAAAACAGGATTATAAATTCTGGCAGGTTAATTGTAAATAGATAATAAGGGAAACCAAAAATACTTTGAGAAAACAGTTTGCAAAAGATAAAAGAACAAACAGCAGACCTTTTTTTCAAGCATATCCAATATCCTGCTGGAGAATTTGTAGGGACAATAGGTCCCACTGAAAGGAATACAAAGAGAAGATATTCCTTTATCAGAAAAACAGACTAAGTTTTGGCATTGGTGCGCAGTGTTCCATAAGTTCCTGACACACAAATTACTGGCAGCATGGAGACTTCTGGGCACACATGGCCACATGCCGCCTCGCTTTTACACTTTCCCATTGTGCCTGCTATCTGCCTACTGTCAGAGCCAGGATACAAGTCTGAACAGGGTGTTTGATACAGCCATTCTGTGCTTTTCTGTAGTGGGTTTTGGTTTTTTGTTGTTTTTTTTTTTTATTATATTAATCTGGTGTGCCTATATTGGCAGTTCAGTCCCAATGAAGGCACGACATGCCAGCAGCTTACACAAACATTTCTTTTCCTTCGCTCTTGACAGCAGACTAGCTAAGCCTGAGACAGGACCCTCTGTGCTTGTGGTCTGCCTCTGGAGGTCTGCTCTCCCTGAGCTTCGCACACAAGCAGCCATTATGCAGTTGGAAGGCTCCAGCTCAGGAGAGCACATATGATAACCACTCCTCCCAAGAACAGCGCTCGAGGACATTTGTCACTTAAAGCATTAACAGGTATGTTGAAAGGAAGGAAGTTTCCATGAACTGGGACCAAATAAACCAGCCAGGTTTTGAAACAGAACAGCCAGGAGCAAGTAGATGAGGGATGGATGGGTGTTAAAATTGCCTCAGGACATTTATTATCTCAGGACATTAAATCCAATATTATTTGATTTCCAAGTAATTAAAGCAATATGCTGATATTCAAATTTGTGCAAAGCAGTCTTACAAATACTACTGAAGTTTCCCAAAACAGCAAATTGGCAAAGGAATTTCTTTTGAACCTTTGCATATGAAATCCTAGTCAAGCACACATATGGAGAAGACAGGGCTTATCATTTAATGTAGCACTCAATCAACAGAATGTTTAGCTAAAGGAGATGTTTAGAAGTCTCTTCCATATTATCAAAAATAAGAATAATATCACAATATAAACATCAGCAGATGTGAATGATGCCCAATAGGAGTGTCAGATATAAACTGTATCTGTGCCAATTTTTAGCATAATCCTGCCTGTAGCACTGAGGTTTTGCTTTTGTGCCATAGTTGGAAGCTCAATGTTTTATTCTTCTGGTTGCATGAACCTGTGACAATGAGAGATAATACAGGTTCATTTTTTATTAGGATTCAGCCTGCCCAGCAGTCATTTAGCTGGAAATGCCATTGCTTTAAGGCAGAGCTTCCCCACAGTTTGTACGGGTACTGTCATCACAGGAAGAGATGGCACTGCACCATGTTGGTATCAGCAGTGACAGCTGTGGCTTCTGGCTGTATGCAAGGACGCACATGCACTATAGGAGATGTGATTCCAGCCCCAGTATTTTCCTAAGTCCTCTGCTGGCCTTTGTACACAGGGTGGAGGAGGAAGAGGTATTTAGTCATGGCCTGTCTCCGCTGGGATTGTTTTGAAATTGTTCACATCACATACACCTTACTTGCAGGTGCCTGTTTTAGGACCGAAATCATACGGAGATTTTTTAATGCTTCTTATTTATGGATTTCAAAGCAAAGGCCAGTGAAAGCATCACTGCATACTTACCATTCCCCCTGCATTCCTCAGGGGTTGGTATTGGGACTGGTTTTGTGTAACATCTTTGTCGGTAACATACACAGTGGGATCGAGTGCACCCTCAGTAAGTTTGCTGATGACACCAAGCTGAGTGGTGCAGTCGACATGGTGGAGGGAAGGGATGCCATCCAGAGGGACCTTGGCAGGTTTGAGAGGTGGGCCCATGTAAACCTCATGATGTTGTTCAAGACCAAGTGCAAGGTCCTGCACGTGGGTCAGAGCAATCACAAGCGCAAATACAGCAGCCTTCCAGTACCTGAAGGGGGCCTACAGGAGAGATGGGGAGGGACTCTGTATCGGGGAGTGTAGTGATAGGATGAGGGGTAATGGCTTCAAACTGAAATAATGTAGATTGAGATTAAATATTAGGAAGAAATTTTTCACTGTGAGGGTGGTGAGGCACTGGCACAGGTTGCCCAAAGAAGCTGTGGATGCCCCATCCCTGGAGGGGTTCAAGGCCAGGCTGGATGAGGCTTTGAGCAACCTGGGCTAGTGGAGGGTATCCCTGCCCATGGCAGGGGGGGTGTAACTAGAGGGTCTTTAAGGTCCCTTCCAACCCAAACCATTCTGTGATTCTATTATATGCTTTTTTGCACATGAGGAAAAAGAGAGAGAGAGAAAAGTTAAGGCCAACATCTTCAAAAACATTAGTCCCTAAGTCACACTGAAATCAATCCAAGCTGGGCATCTAACAAGCTATGGACATCTGTGCTTAAGTGTCTTAAATGGAAGCTCTGTCTCCCTCATTCTGGGCTCCATCTCACTTCATAAGGCCATACCTCTCCCTCCAGCACCTGCAGTTCATGCAAACACAGTGTGCAGAAATGCACAACATACTTTTTTGAACTTTTACCAGACTGAAATGTCCTTTAATGTTCAGGAATATTCCCAGTTCTTATCGGGAACCACCGTGATTGCCAATGACAGAGTCTCATAAGGTTTTAAAAAGCAGACTTTATTTAATAGGCACATTGTTGCTTTAATAGCACTGGGCTGCACAGCTCACTTCACCATTTGTAAATGGTTTTGTTTGATTACATTGCATTTCCTCAGTGTCAGTAGGATTCAAGTAAAAAAGGTACTGCTTTTACTTCTCTATCATTTCTCAAGATGGAAAAAAAACAGTAGAACAACTAGCGCACAGGAGGATAATACAGACAGAACTGCCTGCGATCCAGTAGAAGTCAAGACAAACTGAAATTTGAGCACTGCAGAGTTAAAGCTGCAAGACAACCACACTACATTTGCTCAGATGGGATTTTGCATTATGCAGGATAGAGATGAATGTTGCCCACTAATACAACGAGGGACTGTCTTTCTTATACTGAGAAACAAAGACTGTCCAACACAGACAAGAAATAGTTTCAAAACGGAACAGCTCACATGAAATTAGCTTCCTTATTATTTCTGATTATAAAAGTTGTACTCCCTTAGCTGTAAAAGTCAAAGGCCTAAAAGAAAAGTACTGCTTACAGCATTCTAAACCTGCAATTTAATCAGCTTTTCCCCCCTATATTACAACTCTTTGTGATAAGATAAAACTGTCCTTAAGAGATAAAAGCATAGCACTCTGGATTATTTTTGTAATTAAGTAGCTTACTTGATATATTTCTTCCCTGAAAAACTGCATTTTAATATTTTATTAAATTCCACTGGTAGAAGCATACAAAATCAGAAATCATTAGAGGAAAATAATATTGCTCTGTGAAAGAAAAAAAGCATGATTACTAACAGTTTTATGAACATTGTAAAAGAAGCACATATGGCATTGAAACATTTTGAAAATGGAGAACTATTCTGTGAGTTTCAATGTTCTCAGGTTTGACATTCTATTTTCTGAATGGATATTTCCAAAGTTAGTATCTTGCGATTTTTTTTTTAATGTTTTCTAGCATTGTACAGGACAGACAACCTAAAACCAACAATGCAGAAATCTAGCGTGCCGCACACTTTAACATACAATAGTTACTTTAGCTATTAGGACTTTACACTGACCATACCTACTGTATTTGTAAAACTCATTTTTAAATCAGCTTGTCAAAGCTTTTGAGAAGCAATTTGGACAATAAAGTAGGTATTTTTAGTGTATACCATGAATACGGCCAATTACAGAATCAGAGGTCACTCTCTCCATACAGTGCTGACGAAAAGGAGGTGTAATCCAGAGCCCCAGGAACAGAACCTGGGCCGGTGTACGGAGGCATTCTCTTGATGCAGTACTGAGCCTGCTCAGGAGGCAGCTCGCGACGTAACTCATCTGCCAGGATATAAGGCTGGGAGGAGGGAAAGGATTGACAAATTCAGTATGTATTTTTGAAAGGATATTTATTTTCTGTAGCAGTGACTAATAAACTCAGACATCCTGCCTATTTTCCTGAGACCAAATATTTTCTTCAGTAAATTCCATCCCTAATGATGAGTTGAAGGGGACAATCCTACCAACAAACCAATTAGGTCAAAATCCAGACTCAGGGTATGTGACTGTGTAAGTTAGCCACTGAGCACTGTGCAGCCATGGGTAGACTGCTACTGATACAGCTCATCCTTGGATAGCTAGTCAGTATCTCTAAAGCACACTACTGCCCCTTCTGCTGTGACAGGACAGACACATTTTCAGTTAGATCCTGGTAGTTTCAACATCCTAATGTTTTTGTAATGAAAGATGCATTATTGCTCTTAATGGTTTACATTTACGATATGAAAGATACCCTCTGTTAACAGACTTGACATTATTTAAAATAGCAACGTAATGAAAACCATTTTTTCCTGTCTTTCATCTTCCACATGAATTCCTATTGAGAACATGTCTGGAATTCAAAATGTAGTCCACAGTAACTGAGATCACAAAATCAATACAAACAGCCAGAATGAGAAAATCAATAGAGCGAGCTTGGGCAAATAGACCTGTGCTGCTGTGATCTCTCCTTTCTCCACAGCACAGGATTGGTTTCCTGGCAGCACTGTTTATGGCCCTGACTCCCCCAGAAGCTCTTGGGTTGCCATTATCCTCTTCACACACCACTCACTCGGCAGTGGATCTGGCTGTGGGGAGGAAAGCATGCCAAATTCAGGAGCTTCCTCCACCTACCCAGTAACTAGAGGAGGCCTCCTCCTCCTCCTAGGACAGGGATACACCACACTGCATCACCCTGTTGAATGAGCTGTCAGGTCACAACCTTGCTCACAATTAGGTGTAGTCTTGTGCAACTGTCCCAGGCTATGTTCCAGAGGATAAAACTCTGCACTGAAACACCAGACAACAGTATGAAAGGCAGAATGTGCGCCCCTCTAATCAAGCCTATTGTGTGAAAATTAACCTGATGTACAATATATCCGTTATACAGACAAAGTCTTGTCTAAGATGTCTAATTTTATGTTGGTTCTTTGTGATATGAGGGTATACAGATCAAGCCTTCAATTCTGCATCCATTAAAGCTAAGAGTCTTGGTTCCAAACAAGAAGAAAAGGCAAGTGCTTTCTCTGAAGTCTTACAAACTGAAAACAAAGCTTCACTATTACTTTTTAAAAGGCTTGTACAAGATTTTCAGCAAAGAAGGGCTAAATAGGAGAGCTATTGAATCCTTACAGCCAGCAGCATGATGACTGACCTTATCTGAAGCCAAGATTCTGAAGGAAGCTATCACTTGCTCAGCCGTGTCTGTATCTGCCGTTTCTCTGGTCATGAAGTCAATGAAGGACTGGAAAGTGACAGTTCCTTGCCCATTGGGGTCAACCAGAGACATGATTCGAGCAAACTCAGCTTCACCCTTTCACAGAATCCAAAACAAAAAAAATGGTCACCGTAATATCAATTGCCAGCAGCCTGTGTCTCTCATGAATCAGTAGGGACCAGTGGTTACAAAGGCTTTAAAGCATCTTCCTGATTTAGGAACATAAATGTCAGAGTCAGTGAAATCTAGGATCTTAAATGCCTCCCCCTCTTGTAAAAAGGACTGGGTGCTTTTGAAAAATGTATTCTTTGTCTTAAATACATAATATGTGCCTTTCAATTACTTTCTGTGTCTTTTCTCCCCTCCCGCCCTTCCTCAATGCCTGTTTAACTTGTTTTAACTTCACACTTCATTTTCCACCCCATCCTAAAGCCATTGTAATTTAGGTAACACACAGGGGGGTGAAACAATAGCCCAAGCAGCAGTGTACTTGCAGACCCACTGAACTAAGAAGAAAGGGAAACAATTATGAAAATTTCCTGCCAAATATAGGATAGTTCAAGGCTAATCCTTTCTCCACTAAAAAGGGTGAATTTGGGGCAAAACTTTTAGAATAAATAAGTGAAGGAAAGCAAATGCAACCCCCAAAGCTAGTTCTTGAGAATTAAACAGCAAACTCATTCTTCCTCATGCAGATAAAAAAAGGAGAAATAAAAAAAAATTAATAACTGTTAATTTCAACTTTTAAAGTTTCCTTAATTCAAAAAGCAATGCAGTGGGCCATAGAATATGGTTTTCCAGTGTCTAATTTTACTTTTAACTTCCTTTTAAACCATTTGAAAATAGAGAAAAAGCAAAGAAACAAGAAACTAATATCTCTACTATAAATTATATTGTTAGTATTCTGTCAATTTAAATAAGCTTTAGTGTTGCTGTGGTTAATGTTATAAGCTGTAAGCAGAATCATTTGCCATTGTTTTTTAAAATTCATACCAAATCATAACCCATTGAAATTAAGCAAGCTCTGAAATCATCGTGGTCCATCAATCCATTCTTCCTCTATTGACCAAAACAACGTAAGGAATATAGAAGGGAAGGTTTGAAGAATCCAAAGTAATTCCCAGAGAGATTATGAGTTTAGACCATTGGCATATTGGATCCAGTGTATGATCGGTATTCATTGATATTGCCCAACCAGGTCAGCAGAATCAGCATCAGGTTTAAAGGAGGGAGAAGCAACTAACATATTACACACAGGAAACAGACATTTTCACCACAAGAAGTAACATCAGGAAAGGTCAGGGGAGAGATAAGTGAGAAGAGGAGGTGAATGAGACAAGAATACAGAGAACAGAACCAGAGAAGACAAAGAAGGGAAAGGAGAAAATTTTGTTACTAAACCAGTCAAAATCAGGACATGCTCAAGCTGCCTCCCTGATATTAAATGTATTTGAAAGGTTCTGCATAGAATGTTGTAGTGACTAAAAGTATAGTTAAAACCAGTCTGAAAATAGTGTATCACTGACTATTTCAAATACTCCACTCCAAGGCTAGGGTAGGTACATGATGAGAGCTGTCTGCTGACATATGGGAAATAAGTACAGGGATTTGCCTTCTGACTGGAGGCTGTCAAAACCTGGACTACAACAGAGAGATGCACATACTGGCTTACAGGATTAGATTTGCAAGACTTAGGAGGTCACCTGAAGATCTTGTATAAAAGGAGGTTGCTCATTTTCCAGGCAATAACATACACGTAGCCTGCCTGGCTTAAAGCTGTGTAAACATTAAATGTCATGTCAGGAAGGTAAACTAACATTTCCTCTGTGCTGTTATATAATGTAGCAGTTTGGCGAGAGTTGTGTCATCTGAAGTAGGAGAGAGCAGTATAGAGCTTGTGTTGAGTCTGAGGAAAGGAAAATGAGCAAAAGTCGGAGTGCAAGAAGCATAGGAGTTCCCCATAGTTACCTAGTAGAATCCAAATAAAACACCTCAAACCAAGTAAAAGAAACAACCTGAAAAATCTTTGAAAAAATGCATAGAAAAATATGGCCCCAAGTGGTGCTGACAGTCCATCTAATCCAGTTGTCTTCCCAGAGGCAGGATCTTTTTAAAGCATTATAACTAATACACTGGAGTTTAAACCCTGATCTTTTTCACTATTATTATATTGGCCGATGAGAAAACAGAACAATATCAGTTTCGTCTACCTGCAGGTCATTTCCAACCTGTCCTAGACTGATGAGGCAGGCTTTAAACTCATCAGAATGCAGATGGTCAGATTCATCCTAGCATCCCGTCACAGGTCATGCATTTGGGAAGGTGAATGGAAGGAAAGAAAAATCACAGATCAGGTTAGTTGGTTAGTAAAGAACATTATTCTCTTGTATTGATAACCATGTTTTTACAGAACTTCATGGAAACGTAATGTCAACATATTGCAATGAATTACCTAAAAAGTGTACAACTTTTGCAGTTTCATGCTTTAGTTTTTTTCTTAGTGGAAGACGGTCCTTACTTCAACTACAGAGTTAGAACTGTGCTTCCTCCACAGGTGCTTTTTTAACATTTTTGATGATAAGGCAGTTTTTATTGAACTGCCATTTACTTCCTTTATTCTCTATTGTCATACAGTGCATGTGAGATGCAGTGAAAAGATCATTGAATCTAGGCAAAACATTTTTTTCCCACTCAGTTACTGTTACTTCACTCTTGATCTGATAATATTACTTAACAACTGAATATGCATATCTCAAAAGAAAGTAGAAGTACAAAACAATATATTTCTTGTCTAGAGGCAAAACCAATTTGTAACTGACATAACTCATTTTCAGTTATCTGTCTTCTTCAATAATCTATACAGTAAGATTTTGCTTAGAAAAATTACTTTAAAAAACCTCCATTGAATTCCAGGTTAAATGGCTCCTAGTAACACCACATCAAACTGGATCATTGTTTTCAACCAATATTTTTTCCATTTTTCAAGTCAAGAGGTTCACACTAACTTCTTAAAAAGAGACTGCCTTATCTTCCTGTTCATACAAAATGTGTTCTGGCAGAGGCGTACTTCAGATTGAGTTAACATGTATACAGTTAAAGAGATGTTCTAAGATGAAAAATTATTACCCTTATTGATTTTACAAACTGACAGTTTGGAGAAAATCCAAGGTTTTCTGTCTGCTACATATTTGCCTGGTGAATGAATAATTTATTTTTGAAAATTTCTATATAGGTATGCATAACTAAAATTATAGGAGTTTTAACAAATGCACTGGTTTATCTAATATACTAATAGGATAAAGTTGTGCTTTATTAAGTTCATAACACCATGCATTTTTGACATATCATGCTGTTATTATATGGACTCCCTCTGCATCAACCTCCACCAGCTCCATAAAGGGAAGATAAAAAATAACAGTGGGAAGTCAATGATGAGAGATGAAGCAAAGCTGCAAATCTGAAGTAGCATTTAGTTAAAAGCCATAACCACATTGAAGGTTTTTTCCTTTAATATTTCAATTTTATAAGCTAATTTCTGCTATAAAGCATTCAAAATTGTTTATTTTGTCATTCTCAAAATGTTAATCTAAGCTGGCTTGAAACTCAAAAATCATGCTGGAAACAGGCTAAGGCAGCTCACACCAGGGTCGAAGTCAGCTCATTTTACATTATTCTAAAGCCAAAAATATTACTGTGTGACTGCAAACAAAGCCATATAAAAATGAGAGCTAAGAGCCAAATCTTGTCCCTCTTCCTCCTCTACCAGGTGTTGGCAGGGGGCTATTAGCTATTTGACTACACGAGTGGGGTGGGTGGTCAGCTCCCTAACCACCACACAGGGCAGCAGTAGTGGTGCAACAGGTAGTGAAGGGCAGATGGGAGTGAGAGAGGCCAGCACATCTACCAAGAAGCCATTGTCTTTAGGAAAGGAGTGCAATGGTTGTGCTGGAGCTCACAACCATCATCTGGTTAAATGAGACTCCCCAGTGAGGGTCCAAGTAGTTGTGCCATGTGCTATAACAGGTTTTCACATTCTCATAGTGAATTTTTTAACCTGCATTATATATAGCCTAAAAAGGCATCTTTGCAGTATATCAGTTTTCATGGGATACAATGATATTTTGCAGTTAATGCACAGATCAAGCCCATGCAAGGCCTTGCTCATTGGGAAAGGGTTCTTTGTATTTATTTGTATTGTTTGCAGACCAACCTTAAACACTGAAAATGGTTTTTTAAAGCATATAAATAACTTTGCTTTGTTCATCTTTTCCTGCCAACAAAAAGTAAAACACTGAAATCCCTTCCATGTTTCATTATTAGTCCCCAGAAATCTTTTCCTTCCCCTGTGTGATTCATATGTGGCCTTATAAAACAAATGAGCTTCTTAGTCAAAGTAATACATTCTTAAATATGTCCTTCAGTTTCCTGAATGCTAATTCACCTGCGTAAGCCTGATGATGGGAGCTGTTGTATTTCTGTTAGTAAAATATAGGTTGGCATGATGCTATTTTTCTGCACGCAGAGCCCCTACTTAAAATCTGTAGTTTGCAGAAAAATAGATAGTAGAATATGTTAACAGCAATTAGGATATTACATGCAGAGCAGCTGCAGATATTTTATCACATACTTTGCAATCTTATTTAGAACTTACTAAATTTACTGAACCTGGAAAAGGAAACCCTGCATAAAAAGGCTTCAAAACCAGTGACTGACGATGTATCTGTGTTGCTGTCCTCATTTGTCTGCATATCATAGTTCAGCTCTGCACTATTTTGAACACTTCTAAACTGCTTGTGTGATTCAGACATTGTGTCCCACTTTCTCTTTTTTTCTCTATGAAGTCACGTTAAGGAAGGAGATACACCAGCGATGCTAAAGATTTATATTTATACCTACAACTAGACTGTGCCCTCAGGCCCAGCCGCCAGCAAGGAGTAGTGGGTAAGCAGCAGCATCCTCGGGAATAACCTCTGGGGTAGCAGCGTGTGTACATGCCGGTTGGAAACCCAAGAGTGTAGAGGGCTGCCCCCTTGCCCGCAGGGAGATAGTATATTTACCACTTGTTGTTGACAAGGGTGACTTGTAATGCTCTCTGTGCTAGCCCAGCTCTGCTGGTGCATGCACTGAAAGAAATACAGCTCTTCCTGCCCTTGTAATTCTTATATGCATGGTGCCCACATACTGCAGTCTGAGAATCAGGGGCATATAGTACCCCAAAAAAACCCTTTTAAAATGCCATATAGTTTTCTTTCAAATATTCAGGATGTAGAAGCCATTTAAAACAATTCACTACGTTATCTAGCTCTCTTTCAAAGGAATAACAACTGCAGAATTAAGCCTCATAATGGATTATGAACTGAAAGATTTTTATTTTTTTGTATATTCTTCCTGGCGAGGAAGATAGGGGCTCCTTCCTCAGATTTATAAGCAAAAGGAGTTGTTTCTAGAAGTACTCTATAAAAGTTGTTAGATTTATGTGTACCAAAATACATTATTTGAAATGGGCAAGGGAGCCACTCCGCATATAAGTACTTTGCTGACTTCCTCAACACACACTTAAAGTCAAACATTAAGATAAGTCTTGAGTTGGAGAAATGCCACAGAAGTCAGACCTATAGCATGCATAAATGGTTCCATTGTGCTTAGGTATTTAAAGCCTACTCATCAGGCATGATATTAATTTTGGGGAAATTTTCTGCCTATTCATCATTGTAAATAGCAGTCCAGTTCTTTCAGTGTATTTTTTAAACTACGTCAGGCATTCAGAAATGCTGCTAAAGCACAAGAAAATTATTACATACACTGCTAATTCCATCTGATATGGAGAAGATAGTATTTTTCATGTTAGTGCTTATGTTCAGATGATTCAGTTTCATCTTCATTTCTATTTAAGGTCATCAAGACCATAAAAGAATCCATTACTGTCTTTTCTATCTAAATTCCATGTTCAGAGCCTTCATTATTTTGTAGTAACTCTGAAGCACCCTGGGTTTCTTTTATTCACCAACACAAAATATTCAAGTGTGCAAGGGCACAGGAAGGATATAAAAATGAGAAAGAAGCCTGCCTCTCTCAAACGTGCTTGTTCAGTGTCTCCTGCTAGCCTGTGCAGATTGAATCGTATCTGCCCATTAAGTTACAGTGTAATTTAATCAGTATAAGCTTCTCTTATAAGTATAAGCAGAAGGCCAACTATGTCCTGGGCTGCATTAAAAAAGGGGTGGCCAGCAGGGAGAGGAAGGTGATTCTCCCCCTCTACTCGGCTCTTGTGAGACCCCATCTGGAGTAATACGTCCAGGCCTGGGGTCCCCAGCACAAGAAAGACATGGAGATCTTGGAACGAGTCCAGAGGAGGGCCACAAAGATGATCAGAGGGCTGGAGGGCCTCTCCTATGAAGAAAGGTTGAGGGAACTGGGCGTGTTTAGCTTGGAGAAGAGAAGGCTCTGGGGAGACCTCATTGCGGCCTTCCAGTACTTGAAGGGAGCCTATAAACAGGAGGGGGAGCAACTATTTACAGGGGTTGATAGTGACAGGACAAGGGGGAATGGTTTTAAACTAAGAGAGGGGAGATTTAGGTTGGATATTAGGCGGAAATTTTTCACGCAGAGGGTGGTGAGGCACTGGAACAGGTTGCCCAGAGAAGTTGTGGATGTCCCATCCCTGGAGGTGTTCAAGGTCAGGCTGGATGGGGCCCTGGGCACCTGCTCTAGTGGTTGGCAACCCTGCCCACAGCAGTGGGGTTGGAACTAGATGATCTTTAAGGTCCTTTTCAACCCAGGCCATTCTATGATTCTGTGATTCTCTTTTATCAGTGTTTCTATCTGTCCCCTACAGAAAGCCTGGGTTGGTGGCTGAATGGTTTTAGATCTTACCTTCCTCCTTTCTTTAACTTGCATTATGCTACTAAGAATATAATTACTGAACTGTGTCAGTGCAAAAGTCTTCCTAGACATTTCTGTGTTGCATATTTATTGTCATAGCCCATCTCCAGCTTGCCTGCAGCTATGTGACATGGGCACCCTCTTCCAGGCCACACAGCCTTTCCTAAGGCTTTGCTCTATTGCATCCTGTGGTATCTCAAAGTCTTACTTCATCTGCAAAGCCTACAGATCTGTAACAGTAGGGCTGGAAGCTAGGATTTAGCTTCTCCCTTCAACACCTTCTGAGGCACCCAGAGATGCCCGTAATATCTCCTTAGCCACTGAACTGGACTTGGTGCGAGTGTGGCAGAGAACTCATCTAAGAACTGTGAAGATACAGGGATGCTAGAAATGGCCATCTGGTGTAAGATATACTAGGACTCAGCCACCTTGTTTCCTTGTCTTTAGGGAGCTGTCAAATCTTTGTGCAAAGTCCCTGGTTTCCCTTAATAGGGTCACTCAAATACTGGCATGTAATTTATCCAGGCTTGGTACTTTGTCTGCTTTTAATAGCTGTAATTGCTCAGTTATCTGCTCCAGTGCTTTGGGAAAGCCATTTAGCATGCTACTTCCTTCCACCCCGGGAAATTTATCTCTGCTTCTGTGATGTTAACTTCTGCTTCCTTAGAAAATACAAAAAGGAATTATGCTGCACTAGAATCACATTAAGATTTTCCATAAAATCCGTTTCTTGTTCTTGTGTAGGTAACCTCTCCTGTGCCTGTGTGTTTCTTCAGAAAGCAGAGGTTTGGCAATTCTGCTTTTCTTTCTAAACTATTAAGGATATTCTAAAATATTTAGCAAACTATGACTGTCAGCATCCAATGCGCATCAAGTATAAGTCCAGATACGGGTAACCATTTTGAGTAGAGCTGGACAAACAGGTTGTTAGTGAAAAGAGAGTGGCATTTTGCTATAGCCTGAAATGATTTGAAGGAGCTGACTCATGATAACAGAATATAAGTCAGGGTTAAGCACAGTCTGCAAACTACAGGAATCTGTACTGGGGAAAAGGCAACAGCCTGGTGCTGCATTTTTTTTCAGTATTTGAAATATGGACTGGGTTTTGAAGGTGGGTTCATGAGAGCACAGAGCCAGCAGAGCTAACTCATGTACAGACTGTTCTCCAACTGGGAATGTCAGACCCCTGTCTGCACATATTTTGCTATTCTGTCTGTTAATAGCTATCTTTTTTAACCCTGTATCCATGAACTGCGTAACTCACAGAAGGAATGAGCTAAGTTTCCTCACAGTAATGTTTTCATTCCTACTTTTTTATTCATCCATGATTAGATAACTGAAAATAACAGCCTCTTATTTCCCATATACAGCCAGAAAAATAAAAGATTTTCCTTGACAGCCATGATTGCCCCAACTATATTCCTGCAAATCTGTTTCTAGGGGGATAAATTGTGATTCAAAGAAAGAAAAACCTGTAATCCACATTACAGCTAAATTTAATGAGATGGAAGCTGCTGGCAAGTACGTAGAACACACTGCACCGCCTTGAAATAAAGGGGCACGTTATTTTCCAAAACATACCGATTTATCCAGTTCTGCCTGTTATTTCAACAAATACTTGACCATATTAGCAGAACTATAATGAAACTTGCTTTTGGGAACAATAAATAGTGCTAGCTGAAAAAAAGCAGGAGTACTGTACCCTGTCAAAATGATTGAAGGATGCTCTGAACTCATTCATTTGTTCCTGGGTGATACCCTTGGCGTCTCTTGTGAGGATCTGAGTCTCAACCTCATTGATAGTTCGAGCAATGGTGGTAAGCAGCAGCTCCCATCCAACACGGATGTGCTATGAGAGAGAAAATACTGATTTATTAAAGAATCAAATATATTCTTCTAAGAGTATAAAAAGTACAGTCAGGAAAAAATCAGGTCTATATATTTATGTGAATACTTTTTCCATACCACTAACTCTGTATTATGACTAAAGATCATTAAAAATAAAAATGGCCTTAAGAAAAATATGGAACTGGTTTCTGAATGGTACGTCTTCACTGAAAGTAAAAATAAGTGAAAATAAAACAAGTCTTATGAGCTTATCAGGAAGTCTGACAAATTCCGTCCTCTGTTGCAGTCTCTTCAGATCAGGGAAGGTACTTATATGGCAGAAGAGCACACAATAAACTAACCAGTACAAAAAGGAGTAAATGGCTACCTCCATAGTATAGTTGGTGTGCTTGTTGTCAAACACCAGTGCTTCTTGTATAAGCTGATGATCTCCTTCCAGTTTGTCAATGTTGTGTTTATAATTAATGATATTGTGCTCATATTGCTTCAGCTGATTCATCTGGTCCTCCAAAGGCCCTGTCATTTCAATAGAGCTGCGGGCAATTTCCTGTCAAAAGAAACAGACGCATCCACAAAACTTGAGCTCCAAATATTTGCTAATTTGACCAATGTTCACATGAATATGTAATATTTTCATACTAAGAAGCAATAGTAATAAAACCTTCATACAGTGTAGATGATAAATTTTACGTAGAAAACACATTTCAAAAGAAATGTGGTATATTTATCGCTGGAATTAGTATTGAGAACCCAGTGATCCTGATATCCTTCCTTTACAGAAAGCAGAAGCTGAATAGTAATTGTGTAGTGATTGATTTTTCAAAGCTACATCTCCTGCTCATCATCAAGGCTTCCACAGTTTTAAAAAAGTCATCTTAACAGGTGCTAAGTACTTCAGGATCAAACAGCTGGTAAACTAGCATGAAGATTGCTGTTGTCCTGTATATAATGCAGAGATAAAAAAATATAAGCCACTTTGTTCATCAGCTTTTGCATGAGGGTCTGATACTCACCTCCATCTTGGTCTGGATCCATGGCCCAATGACATTGGCCTGAGCAGCAAACTGGCGACGCAGGCGCTCATTGGCATGCTGGCGGGCTAGTTCCTCCTGCAAGGATTGATCCCTCTGAGGCACCAGCTGCTTTACCTGTCACAGTGGGAAAGCACTGAGTATGAGTAGGCATAAATGAATAGTTTAAAAACAAATGGAACAAATAAGTCTACAGTTACTAATTTTTCTTACTGGTCTGAAGATTGATATGACACATCATCACTATTTACCAGTTCTGTGCTAACATAACAAATTGCTAACATGGTCTTGGACAGCCTGAACCAGAGAGACTGACATGAAGAGAGAAGAAATTTTCACCTCTGGCTAGATTCAAGTTCAAGACAATTATTTAACTTGAACTGCTATTAGATAAGTTACTTTGTTTTTCTTTGAAACACAGGTGATTTTTCAATCTCTAAGTAATTATTTTAAGAATAGTTGATGCAAAACATCTTATGCTAGCACAGCCATTACGGTAGGATAACATGAGACACATTCCATCCATCATGTATATCTGAAGGTCTCTAATACGTTGCAAACACTTTTTTTGGCTTACCCTTCCGGATTGCCCTGGGAGATACTGAATTTACTCCTTATTGCCTGGTTCTTATAACCCACTGACAGTGTGTTCTTGCTTGTGTAAGTTTATGTATTTGGTAAATCCATATATTTTACACAATCATTTACCTTCATTTACCTTCAGCATATTATCTGTCTTGGTTCCTAATGAAATAAAGTTTGTGTGATTGCTCTAGAAGCCTCTCTTTAATTCCACATGAACTACTGTTTATACCGAGTGAAAGAATACAACCATTTTCTGTCCTTTTAATGGCACCCCCTTGCCCATCCTCTGGCCAGCCACCAGCTCTGCACTAGCCCCAACACATGCTTCTCTTGCCCCGCCAAAAAGGACATAGATAATATTGAGTGATGGGAGCAGGGAATATTGTGAAGCAAGCCTAGCAAACAAAAGGGAGAGCATAAGCTACTGTAGAAAGTTCATTCTGGCATCTGATGACCTAGAATAATTTACAGATTTATTGTAAAGTTCTTGAATATCCTCAGTATTCCTAAACTAGAATACTATGTTACAATGTCCTTTATGTATTTAGCATACATTACCTTTTCCCACTTGCTGCGAATCTCTTCCACAGTAACAGTGCTGTAAGGATTGCTTGCACTTATTCTCATGCTGTAACTCTGAATAACTTTTTCAACTTCATTCTGGATTGACAGTATGGCCTGTCTTTCACCATCTGCCTCTGGCAAAGTAGCTTTAAATTGATCATGTGCAGAGATTAAACTCTAAAATCAGAAACAGCGAGGGAAAGCATTAAAACCTTAATGTTTCTTCCAATATCTGGAAGATCTGCTGTAAATAAGCACACCTCAGCCTCTCAAACATCCTGTCTACATGTATCTGTAGAAACGGGAAATAATGCATAAAGAAACATTCATGAAACAGCCCTCATTAACTTTATCAGGACCATGGTTTCTTCTGTGATCTCTGGAACATGCTTTCATATCAATGAAGAACCATATTTATAATAGAGTAGACATCGCCTATCACAAAAAAAATGTCAAGACAGATAGGGGTTTTTTTCTTACACATGTTCCACTCTCCAAGAAGGAAAAGCTTCCTTTCTTGTTTTCCTTATGACTGTAAGCCAAAAAATAGACAACCATTTACCTGGATTTCATCTATGCTATGAACAATAAACATGTCCTGTAGGTCTTCCATAGCACCTTCCATCCAGTTGTTGAAAGGAGCAGCTCTTTTGGCAAATTCCAGATGAAGCTGATCAATTGTTTCAAGCAATTTTTCCGTCCTCTGTACAGATTGGGAAAGGTACATTCCTTTGTTACTAGGGCTAGACCTAACTCCACACACATACCCACCCATTCACAAAGTCATGCCTCATCTTTTCAAAAGCAATTGATTGTACTGTTGACTGATTTCACCACTTGCTTTAAGGATTCTCACTTAAGTCAACAGAACTAACTGCAGTAAAGATACTTTCATATCCAGTATCTTAAAGAGGGTGTATGCCTTTGAAGGATAACAGGTGAAATTACTTTTTCACTACTGATATTTTAAGTATTTTTGTTATTGTGATCTATCTGCAAATCAATCAAAATATGCTAATCTTGCTTTAGTAATTTCTTGTAAGTATAAAAAGAAAGAGTTAGACATGTTTCCCACCTTGGCATACATCTGTGTGACTTCCTCTTTTCTTAAGGAACAAGATTTTGGAAAGTATCTAAGTGCTTTGGAATACTCACCAGCAAAAACTAACCCAGCAATGGCCATTATCCTGTACCTCACCTGATTAAGCTCAGACAAGTATGAAAAGGTAAGCACAAGCACCTAATAGTTTTTGTTATCCTTGCTGGACATCAAATGCCTAAAGAGTGGTGCTATAAACCGCATGTCACTTGTTGCTGCTTTAGAACCATCCCTGGCAGCTGAGCGCTGTCAAGTCTGCTCTGTGTAATTCAATCTGCTTGCAAATGAAACCACAGCAAAATGAAACAGAGATCTGAGGAAGGGGTTTCTTGCTGCTTGGATTCCAAAGTGGATGCTCAATGGCACTGTTTCTAGATCTGAAACAAATGCTCTATTACCCACTCCTTGCCTCAGCTGAGCTGCTGATCATTGCTATATGGTTTACCTCCAGTGCTTCCCTCCTTTTCTGAGTAAGTGTTCCCAGGCTGTCCCATTGGTCACATATCTTTTGGCATCTATCATTAACACTTGCAGCATCATGGTAGTCCAGTTCACTAAGAAAGAGTAAAGACAAAAATCTGTGTGACTTTCTGAAAGACAAGAGCATTGCAGTGTCCACAATCTTCCACTGTCCACACAATTCTTCCCCTCTTTTTTGCAATATTTCTCCTCCAGGTAAGCCAGTGTTGCAGTATAGACATGTGATGTAGACATTCAGCATTCGAAGAAGCACAGCACAGAAACAGGATCTACCTCTGTTGTGAGAAAAATCAAGTATCCATCTGTGACATCCAGCTATTAAAGAGAAGTTTGTCTAACCATCTTTGTCTCAACTGTTCCTGTGGCACAAGCAATTTGATCTCCTGAAGACCAGAATGCTTCAGTCTGGGGCTTTATCAAGTTTCTGAAGAACAGTACAGTTTTAAATTAATTGGCCTGAAATGTATGTTTTGTTTTATATAATCAAATTATCCTTTCCAGCCTCATATGCTCCGAAATAATTTAACTCAGAAACAGACCTCAGGTTGCATTCAAAGCATCATCTCTCTCTCACAGGTCTGGCAATCCTAATAAGGGATGCCCAGATCTGGGGCACAGAGAACAATGTTCATCCTCCACGCCAGGAACTCCTCACAGAGCTACACCCTCGAACTGGCAGGTTCAGAGAACAGGAATCTCCAGACCTATGTAACGCCACCAGCATAAATCAGTGCACCCACAAAGGATGTAGCAGTTAGTATTGCTTTTTCACCTGCTTAATAGGTTTATATTATCCTGACAGAAAGCAACTTACTCTTCTGCCTAAGACTGGAATAATTTTTTAAGGCTCTGTCCTGAGTCTGTCTCCAATTGAATTTTTTACCTCAGTGGCAGATAATCCCCTTGGTTCTGCTGCAGCCGTCATGACTATAAAATACCTGCTTCTGGCACTTTGGAAGCTCACTTTAATTGGTGCATTACCATCCCCTGAATTTAGCTCTTGGCTGCTCCTTGAGGACACTTTGCCCAGTACTAAACATTGTGGAGATTGTGATTATGTGAAAGCATGGCAATATGAAGCTAAGATTTACTTTAAGGTTTGAACTAGACATTAAATGCAGATAAAATTTTTCCCTTCTTTTGAACGTTCCTCTCTAGGCAATTGGCAAGAGGAATGTAGATGTCACTTCCACCAGTAACTTAGGGAATCACAGGGGACAAAATGAGAACAGAGGTAGCTTTCCTCCATGAAGCTACACTGTAGGCCAGGGGCAGTGTTCGTGCTTCCTCCTCTAAGCTCAGAGTGATCTGGTTTGGGGTGAAGTTGAGAAGTAGTTAAACCATTCTGTTTAAAAGAGGCTTCAGATGTGCTGTAATCAAATGACTGTTGAAAATGAAGAAGGGTAAAACAAGTAAAAATAAAATACCATAACAATTTTTTAAAATAACAAAACCAACCCAACATTGCTAGAATCAAACTGTTACATGTAAGGACAAAGCTGCCAGCAAGCCATCCTATGCAAAGGCTCCTTAACTCAAAAACTTGCTTCCTCCTTTAGAGCAAGCCTTTTTGTTAGCCTTCAATGGATGCAACAAAGCCATCCATTTGTTACAGAATTTTAAATTGGAAGCATGGAGTTTTGGATTAAACAGGCTGAGATATATTTTATTGCTGTAAGTTTTTGGCTGGAAGTTGGTTTTTATCATTACAGCATATTGAGATTGTTAGATGATATTCCTGTGTGAGCTGTGAGCTCACCAAGTGGATGGGATATGGAAATTTGTATTCTGGTCTCTTTTCACATACCAAATCTAATGTACCAGAATATGGACAGAGTATTTTTCCAGATACTTCAGTCACATCCTTGAGAGTACTGCAAATTTTCTTTTTGCTTCAATGGATCACTTATCTCCTTTTGTTGATTAGGATAAGGGCAGGTGTACTTCCATGAAAGTGAGGGACTGACTGTACCACCTCTGGTCAAAGTCCTGGAAGGTAACGTGCAATGTTCCTCCACCAGCTCTGCCAGTGCGGTTCAGTCATTACCCACAAGATCTCTGCTATCCTATTTCTTCCAGGGATATGTGCTGTGGACAAATAGGCAGGAGAATAATATTATCAAAACAACTTTATAAAGGGCATTCGGGAGTCAAAAATCATAAGTTAGATCACCAAGTGGCATTAAACATTGTAGCTCCACTGCCTTTCTGGGCCTGCTGTAGCTGACTTCAGATAAGTTATCATATGTGTGAAAGAATGTTTTTCTGCTCAAAGCAGGAGCAGAGGAAGAAATAACAACTCATAGGAGATTATGACTCTGATTCTATGATTGTTTACTTGGAAATAAAAAACAGTTTTACATTCCTTTACATTCCTATGAATTTTTGTGTCTCTCTCAACAATGAAGCTGTGAAGAGACTAGATTTCACATTGTAAAAAGAAGTGTTGCTTACCATGCATACACAAAGTACTGCTGCACATGTGTTGCAGAGCTTCCAAGAGAACAATCATTCCTATTTGGTTGGTTATTTGAAATCTACAGCCTTTGGAATTTAAAATTCATTAAGCTATTTCTACTGATCTTACAAATAATTCAATCTTATCTGTAAAGAATTAACAATTCAGTCAAATTTTGTCTTGATCCAGAGAAGTACTAAAGTATGAGATCACTTTAGGAACAGTGATAGTGTCACAAAAATAACCTGCTGAGCAACATGCTTTAGCACTGCTTTAGAACCAGGCTCATGTTAATCATGCACGTAAGCACAATTTGAGCCCAGGTTTCCAGAAGCAAAAAGACTCTTCAAATCAGTGTTACAGATAGTGGTCTTCTAGGCTGAAAATAAGTTGCTATACTTATGTGATGGACATGCAAAAAACTACATTCCAAAAATTTTATCTTGATGATTGAAAACATTGAAATGAGCACACAAGACCATAAATGAATACAGCACTTCATATTACAGCTCACTCATGTTCTGTTTAGCATTTGCTATGTTATAAACAGCAAATCCCATTTTAGAAATGCCTGATTTTTTCCAGCTTTGTATATAGCCCTATCCAAGCCTTGTCATGCCTCATTGATAAGGATTTCTAAGTCTATACAGGCTGGAACTAAACAACCTCAGAGCAGCATCCTGTCTGGAATCACCTGCTTGAGCACACACACAAATCCTTTATCTAAACAGCACTAATCAACAATCCTCCATAATAGCATTGTGTGAAAAATTATGTATAAATAATTAAAATTAATATTTAAATAGAAGCTGCCCCTTTGCTTGTAGCTAATAATAAAACTTGACCTTTATGACCTTTCATTCAGTGTTCTCAAAGGGCATTAAGCCAAACTGAGCTACCGAGTCTCAGTGAAAAATCGGGCACTGGTAGCCCCATTGTATGGAGAAGCAGAAATCAAAGTAGCACATCTCTAAAAGCAATGGGCTTTCAGCACCTTTGCAGCCCAGGCCACAAATAACTTGTTTAACTTCACACAGCAAATTACTGAAACAACTGAGAAGAGAGAATCCTAAAATAGGCAGGATACTGTGTTCGCTGGCCTCACCAGAGGTAAAGGACACAGGGTTCAGGACGCTGGTAAGCAGATGCTGGGCTATGTACACTACGTTCCGAAAGCTTTTTATCGCTTGTAAAGCTGAAGCTGAATTAACAATGATTAGGTGTTTCAGAAACTTTCTTTAGTGTAAAGAGGAACAAATAACTTCGCAACAAGGCATGACAGAAGGTGTTTCATAAGCTCCTATACTCAGTGAAATCTCCACTGTGTTTTCAGACTTCTCTGCCCACTGTTTTACTTTTCCTCCTTTAAATAATCTTGAAAAAATGGATTTTTTCTTCTAAATCCATTTGAATTATCCAATTACTGTAAGTGCTGCTGCTATCAGGTATTAACTATATTTTTAGACAATTCTCTCATTTTTAAATTGTTCATGAACATGGAGCTGTTTGTAAGTCATGGTCCTTCACAAGTGAAAAGAGGGCATGTTTTTAACACTTGATTTTTGAGCAGTAACTGTTTTGCCTATTCAAAAAGGTGAGAAACTGAAACTTGGAGAGCTCAAGCCAAGGGCAGGAATCTGAGAATTTTGATCTTGGCTCCTGTTTCGACCGCTACAACACATTTGTTCCTGTTGGCTTTCCAGATTTATACTGCAGGTGAGCAATGAATTTAAGTATGTGCCAAATTGCTCAGATCAGGAGTAGTGCCACTGATTTACAGTACAAAACCACTGCAATTCACTGCATAGGATTATAAAATCAAAGGTGCTTAGCTTGGTGTATGCACCAAGACAACTTTACCAGAAAAAGGACATCAGTATGTAAAACTACAGTCCTGTCAGCGTGGGCAGAGCTTTGCTGACAAAACTGTGCATCGTACAGGTGAATTAACAACCTGCCCACAAACGAAAGCAAGCTCCACCAATAAAGACAGAGTTTAGCCAGAGTAATTGCATCAACACTCAGGACTTCTGCTGCCATAAGGGTGTCTGTCAGTCAGGGGCCTTGACTTTTCACATCTTTGACCTAGGTAGCTGATGTCAACAACACAGATGTAGCCTAAATGTGTTGTAGAATTGTTCTCAGCTTTGGCTGTGTTTTCTCCGGGCGCAGTATGCTGAGTGAGCAAGTGCTGGTCCTGTGGCTAAGTTGATGGAACTGTGGGTGAAAACCTCTGCTCTCCTATAGGAGAGCCTATAGCTTGTGTGCTAAATGGCTTGTGTGACCCTGAGCAAATTTAGTTTCCATATGCCCCACTGCCCTTTCTGTAGAATGGAGACAAGGGCACTTCCAAATATCATGCAAAGAAATTGTGAAAACAAGTATACTAGAGACAATTAAAGCTTCAGGAAAGTCAGTGTACTAGCCACTACTATAGAGATAATTTAGGGATGTGAAGCCTTTTGAAAGGACCATTATACTTGTGGGAAAACACTTGATTTTAAAGTGAAGATGCTTGATCTGTAATTTGTTGAAGTGAAATTATTTTCTAAGTTAAACAACTCATAGCCAGTACCACTCAGCAGACTGTTTGAACTGAGAAACAAACACCTCCAGCATTCCCATCAGCACACAATGGACGCATCCGTAGAGCTAAGGCTAAAAGCTTACTGTTAAGACAATTTTAAAATGTTTGCTTTCAAATAATTTTGGTCAGTTGAATATCTATATTTGGTTGGGGGCAAGGGGGAGAGGAGGGAAAGGTCTCAGTAACCAGCTCAGATAATATACTTATGAAGCTATCTCTGGAATTCTTACGTTGGTACCTATGACACTATCAAATTCATTGGAAAGAGTTTATCACAAAGTTAAATGTCAGCAGCTGCAAGCCTTTAAATGGAACATACTTCAGCTCCTGGGCAATGGCAGCGATCTGTTCCACCCTGTCCTGGTGAGCAGCCAAATCACTCTCAAAAGCTTCATGTTTCCTTAACATGGCGCGGACTTCTGTCAGAGAAGCGGATTCATATTCCTTCTGAAGTAAGATCTGCTCTTTGCCTGAAAGAGGAAATTAAAATATTAGTCATTTTTTACTAATTTTTTTTTATTTGCAAATTTAGTCAACTTTTTAAACTGAGGCATGGTGAAAAAAATCATGTGTGTGAGATAAAGTCCCAGCCCGACTGAAAACAGTGTTAATTGGAAATATATATTTTTAAAGATGTCTCGGTAATTCCTTGATTTTTGCATAGGCTGTTTATACTGGCCTAAAATAGCGAGTATTACATTGCTTGAAACTGCCATAAAAATAGTATATTGGTAAAAACTGGGGCTCTAAACTATTGTGATGAGTCTTTTGTAGAGTAGACTTACAAAACCAGAAATCACACTGCTACACTCAGCTTCACTCTTACTAATGATCTGTTATTTTTTTCACATTCTACCTTCAATTCATTATTCATTTCAGCACTTCCAAACAAACAAAAAAAAGAAAAAATGAGATGTGCGGCTGCCTTTTGTATCAAACACTGAATTCTAAGTGGAAAACGCCAACCTATTTAAAAAAGGCGAGATAAGCAAAAAAGAAATCAGAAACCGAAATATTACTCCTCAGTAGCTTCTGTGTTGGACAACTGAGTCTATACAGACAGCCCCCACAACGGCAGCTCACCACATGGCATTACACAGTTCTGCAAATTCTAGAGCCAGAAGGGACTACTGTTTCACTTGCTATGTACCAGCTTATGTGACGTTTTCCCTGCATAACAACCATAACATGTCACCATGAGTAGTTTATGCTAAGAAAATAGGCCCTCAGGGCTCATAAACAGTGTAGTTTCCCTTCTAGTATCTGTTTGGCAACCATTTACAGCCTTGTATGCTTCCAGCAACTGTGTTACGGGATGGACTCAGGTTTACTTTCACAGTGTGAAAAGATTCTAGCTGGGAAAAGCCAGAAGCATGGCTGAAGCAGGAACTGTTGTCAGGATAACAATAGGATGATAGAGCAGATCTATGTTTAATTGTCCCCAACAGAACTGTATGCCAGTGTACGTTCCTATAGCCATTACAACTACATATAAGGTTAGGCTACCATTAAAAAACAGAACTATAAATGGGGTGGAATCCAGGACATGAAGCAAAGCAGAAATGAGTCCATTATCATGTAGTTTATGTGGACTATACAAAACATCACGATGATCAAATGATAATCAACTCAGAGTAACTCTGTTAATAATTTCACACTTAACCGGTGGTGTCACTGTGTTCCTGGTTGGATTGCTGGTGTACAAATACATAGGAATGCATTAGCAGTAATGGCCTCTATTCCAACGCTGAATATTCCTATTAAGTTTGACTCACTACCTCAAGAGTATGATTTTTACAGTTACATTTCATTAGCAACATGCCTACAAGTTGGGAGCATGACTATAGTCAACAAAGCCTGCAATTTTGTCTGGTATTATTTTAGGTTTCTTCAACTGGCCAAACTACTTATGAGTGAGTTTCTGTCTGGCAAATATTCAGCACTGACAGTTCAACCTTGAATATTAAAACATTAAAAATGTTAAAAGCCATCTCTGCTCACCATATGCCCACTGTTCATGAGTGGAAGCCTTCTGCCTAAATTTCTCAGCCAAGTGTTCAAGTCTTTCCAGTCTTCGTATTTCATTCAGCAGCCACTCTTCATAGCCTTTCTCAGCTTGTTCAAGTCTCTGCCAAGCACCAGCAATATCCTGTGAAGAGAATACATGGCAGAGAGGGGATGAAACTATAATCTCTTTTTATCCAAATTTGCAGATTTCTGATTCATTCACAATTTTACTCCAAAAAGAGAAGTTTTTATGGCCAGATTTTGTAAAAACACAGAATCACAGAAAATGCTGTCAGGCAGCTCAGGAAGTCTTGTAGTCCAGATGTCTGCTCCTAATAGTGTGACCTATTCAGGTGAGTTCATGAAAGGAACCCCTACACAGATGACTTCCCAGCACAGCTATGAATTCAGGTGCGTTCACAATATATTGTTTTTACCTCCCATTTTACAATGTGCATGTTCTTTTATGACATATCTGTCTGTTATCAAAATAAATGTGCTTTGCTCTTGGAAGTTGACAATAGCAAAATAACCAGTATCAAGAAGATTTGGTGCATATTTTATCTGGAATACAAATTCATTTCACTTTCTGTGATGCTCAAAGTTTCGTGAACTTCCTCAGAAACTCACACACATGGGTAGGAAACTGAAGTGACAGGCCCCTTATTTTCTGCATATGAGGAGTGGACAATGGCCCTTTTCAGATAGTGCAATCATCTGTTTAGCAAATCTGAGCAACCAAAACACAACAATAGAGTGAAGAAACAGGTTTGCTATATTCCACAGGAAATGTTTTGACCTACAGTCAAGTCACAATACTTATCAGTAGATAAGACTTCTTGGCACTGACTATTCTTATCTTCACAGATATAAGAAAAAGAATTTAATACAAAAAAATAGAAAAAGCAGAAAGATATACTGAGTGGTGTCTGTTTCTTTAAGTCTGATGACCAAAATGCCAATGAAATCACTGTGAGTTTTGCTTAAATAAATAATATTTGCCCTCACTGATAGAGAAGTATTGTTAACACTCCCAAAGGAAGCTCTGTATCATCTCACATCTCAAGACAATTCGCTCTTGGCGAAAGCCTTCAAAGAGGCAGGAGCACACTTAAGAGAAAGCGAGATTCTAGAATGAAAAGGAACATGTAAAAAGAATGGTTTAATATCAATAAAGTGCAACAAACTGAAGTTTCTGAGGATGACTTAAAATGGCATTTCAATCCTTCACGCTGAAATTTTTGTGAGAACTTTGATAAAAAGGAGAAGAGAGTATTGATGCCTCCTTTACTTACTGAAACCATTTTTCCCTCTGATGGCATGAAAGCTGGCCGGTTGCTGATTCTCAGTTTTGTCTGCAGGGTGTTGAAATTGATTTCCAGTTGACATTTCTCTTGGACTTTGGGAGGTTTGTGTTTGCGGCGGTAGTCCCGGAAATCCTCTAATTTCTTCTGCATAGCCTGCATTGTTTTTTCTGGAGTCCTGTTTTCCAGCCAAGGAATTGTCCGGCGAATCCATTCTAAAAGCTTTTAAACCAACACAAACAATTGAAATAAAGGCAATGGAAAAGCAGCGAAAAAAGATCAAATTGAATGCACAAATCCTAATCACATTTGCTCCATTTTATTATTATTGACTTCAGTTGATATCAGTGCCCTAATGGCAAGTAAGCATAAGATTTCCAAAGCTGAACAATACTTTTTAAACTAAGTGCCAATGCAGCACTACTGACTTTGTGTCTATGATCTCGTTATGCAATAAAGACAAGGGAGCTCTCACTTGAGCACTACACATCTGTAGTCCTGACTCAAAAAATCTGCCATTTACCAAGAAAGGACAGAAGGAGCACAATGTGCTCCCTTTCTTCATTCATTTACTGCCTGTGTTCACAGGTGCATTGTGAACACCCTGAGAGACCTTATCCGGGTGTGTTTTGCAGTACACAAAGCCAGAGGGCTTGCTTGGAGTGACAGGATCCTATTATGTTCCAAATGTGGTCAAGGATGGCTGTCTTTGGAGATTATAGTGACAGCAAGCCTCATCTTGGGGCAGACCAATGACAATCCTCAAAACACCCTTTTTGGCTCATTATTGAGACTGAGCAACTTGATGGAGGTCACATAGGAAGTCTGTGGCAAAGGAGCCACCTGAACTTTGACATCTTGGGCAACTGAGGTTGGTACCCTACCACTGTGAGATTTACCCTCCTAGTGTCTTCACTTTGCTGTCTTGCAGACAGTGCATGAATCTTTCATGTTTCAGTATTTCACAAATATAATTATCACCACATTACAGATACAGTTGTCTTTACCTCACTTGCTAGTCTCTCATACTCTTCCATCAACCTCTCATTTTCCTGATTCACAGCAAGCACCTTACAGATCCGGTTAGCTGCAGTCTCAGCCTGTAAAACACAGCAAATGAACAGGACATATTATTAAAATCATTCTGAGAAAGGTACAGGCCTGGAGAAAGAGAGAGAATATGGCTGCTACAAATAAAAATCACATTGTTGTATAGTTGTTGATTTGCGCTCCTGGGATACTTAGAGATATATTTACCCTCCTTCTGTAGTCACAGATTCCAATGGCCTGAACAAGGTACAGATGAGCATAGAAATCACCTTGTTGTACAATGAAGCCTTATTATACAAGGGGGAATTTCACATTGCCATTATAGTTATCTAAGAAATCTTTTGTTTTCAAAGATGACATAGGCCATTCTTAAACTTATCCTATTGGGCTATTTTTTAAAATGACACCAAAAAAAGTATTAGATTTGTTAGCCACACTGGAAAGACATTGCATGTGATTCAGGGGTCCCAGACCACTCTATGTATGCACATCATATGTACATATACCCTTGAGAATATATGCAACTCAACTACTGAAGCAAATCTTCTCATGCCTCCTGCCAAATTTATTCATGAAGGCTGTGTGTAGTTCTGTCGTATTTAACGTTTACATTAATAGTTTGGCATCACAGATCTACACTTTCATACACATGTGAGTCTGGAGTATATCTAATCAAATAAATATCTGTGTAGACTCCTGTGTTACAGAGTTTTTAGAATCCTCCTTTTGCATGAATAGCAAGACCTTCATACCCAGAAGCAAGAGGCACAAGAGATAGCTGTGCTGTGATAAGGTATAGGAGGCCCACCAGACAGGAACGGAAATCAAATCCTGAAGATTAAGGAAAATTATCAACTATTTTAAAGGTTCTTTGGGTTTTTTGGGTTTTTTTTTCATATAAATTGGGTTATGTCCAATTGTAGGCTAGAAATGTATGAAGCAGAACAGTGGGAAATGCTACATTTTTAAGTGAGAATCCCATCCTGTGCGACAGATCTGATGTTCCTGCCTTTTTTACTAAGAATTTGATCCACAAATAATTCTGTTGGCTTCAGTAAGAACCAGGCACAAATACTGTGTTGGATGTCTTCTGTGCCTTTCTGCATCTTCAGGCATCTTTGAAAATCTAGCCCTGAATTACTACTCAGCATTAGTAGGTCTAGAATAGTCTCAGTCTCCAGAAGTCAAACGTTCTTTTATGAAGCAAACACATAAGATTTTGATGTAGCAACAAAAAACAACTCAATTTCACAGTACCTTCAAATACAGTTTTTCTGAAATAGTCTTTATAAAAATCACCAAATAAAGACCCAAAATTAGAAAGAGGAATGTCCATTGGAATTAAAGTTCAACTTGCTACACAACATGTAACTAAAACAGGTTCAGGTGTCGGTTAAACAAGTATTAGTGCTCAAGTAATATTTGCAATTGTTAATCAAAACCACAAAGTACTAAATTAGGGTTTTTTTTAATAAACTAGTGGAAATGTCAAACAAGCAATCAAAACCACAGCAACCTGAAGGGACAGTTGATTAATACCTGCTCTGCTCCAGCAAAAGCATGGTAGAAGCAGGACACATATGTCATGATAGCTCTCTCATCGGGTTTGGGAGTGTTCACAATATCTACAAGGCAGGGGGAGAAATTAAAACAAAACAAAACAAAAAAAGAATCGAGGAGTAGAAAACAAGATGAATTTTAAAAAGCACAACATTTTGTCATTCTGATTGCTTTCTTGTCCATAGTTCTGTACTCTAGAAACTCTACAAAGCTGTAACAAATGTAGTGTTAGACTGGTGGTTGTTGATAGAGTAAAACATACACTAGAAATTGAACATAAGCTCTTACAAAGAGGTGGAACTTTTCAATAAGCTTGATCCTGCAGTATCGTCACAGGAGGAGTGATCTTAATTTTAGCGGGACTATTTGCTTAAGAACTGGCACGCATATGTCTGGTGACTTAGAATGTAGGGGATTTTTGACCAAGACTCAGGAAAGACAGCCTACATTTTGATCTGGAGAGATGTTCTCTGGAAGTTGCATGTGGATTAGTTATAACCTTAGCACTATTTATCAGTATTCTTTATATTACTAATACCTGAAGTATGTCCAACTTTGAACTGCCTTGCTTTTTTAAAATTTTCCTTCGTTTCACAAGAACATGATTTCAGAGCTCTTCTGAGATGTCTGTGTATGTTTCTGTGTCTATTTTGCATAGTGGCAACTTTTTATGTTGCTGTTTGTACTTACCATTAAGCATTTAACTTTTTAAAAACAATCCTGAAAGCATAAGAAAAGGGTTTATTTTCTGAGCATCTGTTATGATGATTTTGACATCCGTAGCAGGAATAATATCCAGCAGGGAGAAAAAAGATAGCATTCTGCTATTAAAATTGTTTTTTCATTATGAGCTTATTTTCCTCTTGCATTTTTAAAGGTGCTTCAGATGAATGCATACAAGTTCAATTAAAGAGAATAATGTCCTCTATCCCTTTCAGTAACCAGCTGTCAAAAACCTCCTGGATATTATTAGTAAATATACGGAAAGATAAGACAGGAAAGTTTGTTTCTATGGAACAAATGGATAGACTACTACTGGCTCTACTGAGATAGTGGCTCACAGAGAGAATGAGGCAACAGGAAAAGAGCTCAGGTCTAAGACGCTGTCCTAGTAACTAGTGAGGAAAAGATTGGAAGAGGAAAAACTGCTGAAAGAAACAAGACAGAAGGTGAAGGATGAGATCTGATCCATCTTCTACAATCTCACCTTCTGGGCACCAGCAAACGCATGGTAGTAACAGGAAACATAAGTCATAATGGCTCTTTCATCAGGTCTGGCAGTGTTTACTACATCTGTATAGAGAGAAGAGGGTTAACTGCTCAGAAATTCTCACAAGGTACTTCCATCAGATTATGCTGATGATGCCACCTCAGTGCTGTAAGGATTTAAAATAAATACACCATTATTCAGGTTGCAGCTGTTTACTAGTATCACTGCAAAGCTACCTGAGCTTTAGGAATCAGTAAATAGAAAAGATTTAAATCTCCCTGAATTGGCAAAACATCTGAAGGCTGAGACTATACAGAAGGGTATTGCTACCTTCTGATTTGTGAAAGCTTCCAAGCAGATGGCACAGCTGGCAGATCTACTGGGTTCAGCTTCACTGTCACTCCAGAACAACTTCATCTAAATCACTAGAATTATTCCAGAGTTAAACACAGCCACTGACAGTCACAAAAAAGGAGTGAGTACAGTGTATATTAGCACAGGGTCCCTGTGACTGACAGGGTATTGACATATATTGGAAACCTGTAGAATTCCTGCAGTCCAGAAATACATTCTGTGCTAAGAAAAGCTTAGAGAGTAACAGTTTTGCAATCCCTGCACTAATCTGTCTTTTTAGGTAACAGCATAAACAACAGAAGAGTTTGGCTTGGCTGTCTGATAGCTTTGTCCCTGTTATGGCAAGAAAGAGCAAAAGCACAGAGAGGGTGCTATCAAGGTATGGGTACATTGGTAAAAATGGACCTTTTCAATACTTAATAGAGAAAGGCAGAAGAAGGTGATTTTACACCAGTTATGGCTGGGTGATGAATGATGCTAGTGCAGGCTGCAAGGATTCCTGCCAATGTAAGGAACTGGAAGATACTGGTGTGAAAAGGCCCAGGAATGAGGTGACAATTTCTAATATTAACAGTGAGATTTCTAAGTTCAGGACGAATGTATTTACTGATTTTGCATCTACTTCACATAGTTATGAACAAAACTTTGCAAAGTTTCCACTGAGAACACAGTGGAAGTAAAGAGAGTCAAAAATTATAGTGAATATTTAGAGGGTGTTAGAAGAAGCATGATTTCATTTCCCCCTTCCCTGACAAGAAGGAGACTAGTAAGATAAGGGCAGAAAATCTGGTGAGGAGTGAAAAAGGTATCTTACATTGTATGTGAAGAGAAAAAAACGAGGAAAGGAGAATGACAGTAGCAAGTGCTCAGTGGTAAGGAGGTAGCACTTCTGTTTATTCCTTGCACAGTATTTCAGAGTAAAATAATTAAGTGGTGCTTGAAAGGGGAATTGCAATTCAAAAAATGAAAACAATTAGTTTTGAAGAATTAAGTTGAAATTAAGACATCTATTCAGTGAAGAGGTTACAACATGAATTTTCCAAATCATCCTGTATTGGCCTAACTTTCCAATCAAAAACTTCAAGGGGAGCAGACACAGTGAGTCTGAGTGCCCTGGATAATTCCCCTGTTATCACTGCTCTACTGACAAGCAACCAGAGAAGAGTCTGCATACTTGGAAAAGAATGCTTTCAACTAGTGTAGGCTAATTCCAGTACTTTGGCACTATTTTTTGCCTGGAGTACAAAAGTTTGGTTATCTTGAAGAAAGTAATGAAATTTAAATAATTATTTCCTTGTTATTTGTCAAAATACTCTAAAGATTATAGGATAAACCAAATATGCAACTATTTGTTAAAACTATCACTGCAAAAGGTTTACAATTAAAATGAACAAAAAAATGCTTCCCTCAACCTAGCTGTCTTTCACAGGAGGCACATTGTTAGTATATTTTGAAAGTTATGTACTTCTATTTCTATTTCTGGCCCTCTCACTTAAATATTTTTTAAAAGTGAATATGCTTTAAGCTGCTAACAGTTTTATTTCCCTTTATTAAACTTAGAAAGACAAGGATTATCTTTTGATCCTGCATTTTACCTCCTTTATCACAGTAGGGCCATGTGCTGAGGTTAGGGCCCAAAGTACTATAATAAATACAAACAATAACAAACAATAAGGAATGAAGCAAAAAGTGAGTGAAATTATCCAGTACATGGGGAACAAGAAGGAAAACATTGTTTGAAAACAAAGCAGGGTGCTCCATTGTGATTCATGTGGAAGGAATGTTGAAAACTTGCTAGATACAAACCAAAAGAAGTTTTACTGTCTCCTGCTTGTGAGTAACATAAACTTCATTAAGATATAACTCTCACCTTCTGCATCCAACATCTTAGGGATATCCAAATGCTTTTCAGCAATTTCCATGGCAAGGTTGATATTTCCTATGGGGTCATCCTGCATTAAAGAAGAAAATACAGCTAGTCAAAGATATTTTTTTCCTTGAAGCAAGACTACAGTAGGTACACTAAAACTTATTCTGTTTTTCCAAACTGTAAACTGGAGTCACAACTACCGTTCTTCAAAAAGCAGAGTATAGGTGTGTGAACTTTTGGTCTATCTATTGCTATACTTTCAAAAGAAAATAGTAATAAGCTGTTATGCACAGCTAGGTCTCTGCTGCAAGTATGTTCTGGAGGGGAACATAGATAATTTATGCAGTGTACACTCATAATTCTGAGTTAATGCTGAATGACGTACAGCAGCAATACATACAGTCAAGGCCACTGGTCCAGTAGGCTGTACTAGAACATTCATCACAAAGTTAATCTTGCATGTTTTTATACCTTCTGTATGTTATATTACGGTGATATGAATTCTGCTGAGTTCTCTGTTGGTCAGGTGCATGCACAAGAAGCAGCAAGCATAGCCAGAAGAATAGTTCTCCAGAAGAAGCAAAAATTCCCAGTTTTGGCTTGCACAGACAAATCTGTATTTCCTCTATAAACTGAATTTTAGAGCTGTGGAAATTCAAGAACTTCCTCTGGTTTTGAGATTTTGATTTTGGTTTTTGAAGGAAGGAGAAAGGAAGCAGCGAGCACAGTTCAGATAAACAGTACATATTTCATGTCTTACACTACAAACAGCTGTTGCTGACAACTGAATAGTGTGTCAGATTAGGGCTGCTTTTAAGTCAGCCTTCCTGGATCAGCTTTGAGAGAAAACACCTTATGTGAAATGGCAGTTCATGCCATTAATGCTAGTATTATTATTTTCACGTATTCACAAACTGCTAAATGATCATAGCTGCTGTGAACAATGCCAACGTCTACAGAGAGAGGTTGGGAAAATAGGACACAGAAGAGCAAAGTTAGAAATGCCAAAGGGCAGTGAAACAATGTTAACAGGTTTTCTGCAGGGAATTTCCAGAGCTTCCACTTGAATACAAACACTTCCTATAAAAGGATCTAGTCTCAAGCATGCTGCTTTTGTTTCTTTGAAATGAACTTAGTAAGATTACTTCCTATGGAATCACAGCAATCATTTACATTTCACAGAAGTCTGTTCCTCATATACATACATATGCCAGGTATCATAAGCAGTGAGGCCAGTAAATGTCTTTCTATAAACCTATCACACTAGATAGCCTTTCCTTAAAAAGCTTCATGTTCAATAAAATGTGTTATGAAAAAGAGTCGACATTTTGAAACCCAACAATTTGGGTATTATAGAATACAAAGTCTCTAATCGCAAGTTCTCACTCTATCATCATTTAGCAGTTTTGTGTATCACTGACATTAAGAGGAACTTAAAATGTGGACAATATTTAAAACTCATGAACTTATTTTTGCTATTACACGAGACAACATGTGTAATACTACATTTACTAAATGTGTATATAAAAACTCTTACTGAAATTAAATGGGACAAAAATCACTAAATCTAAATGAGACCTATTGACTAGGATAAAACACTTTGCTTACGGATGAGTGATGAGCACCTCCTACTTCTGTGCTTGGTAATAAGTCCATGAGTAAACAGTGCTCCACTGGTAAAGGATTTGTTTAAAATCACAGCAACTACTGAATAATTGGAGGAGATCTCCATTACCCATCCTTTTAAACAAAACTACAAGCCATAGTAGCTAAAAATCTCTGCTACAGCTAAAGAAATACCTCATCTAACTTGTCATAGTCAAGAAGATCAGGCCTGTGTCTATGGATAAGGGCGTTGAAAGCAAGGCCATTTTTCCAGCTACAAGTTCACACAAAACACATTTGTGAGAAAAGGAAAAGACAGCATGCAGGAGATAAGAAACCAAGAAACAAGACACTGAGACAGCTGTTAATGTAACCAAAATGAGCAGTCAATCAAACACAGCCAGGTCAGAAAAGCGAGATCTATTTTAGGATTTTTCTGCATGTGCTTTACGTGCCACAGCTCAGCCTCAGTTTGAAACCTGACCTGTTCTTATTTTGGAAACTGTAAGAGGGAAACAGCAATGCTGAAGCAGATCTGCTTATGTTCTGTTCCCTTTTCTCAGCACTCATATATAGGATGGTTATACTGTGAAGTTTAGTACTGTGTACCACTTTTTAAAGCATAAAATCAATCAAACTAACTTCTGTTTGTGCCATGCTTAAGCACATGTACACAGAGACAGGTAGCGTAGTCATTCCACAAATCTTTTTATCCATAGGAAACATTGTATATAGAATTAGAGAACAAGCTGCTGTTGATGGCTAATATTTTGCCCTTTGGTTCAGATCTGCAGTTCTCTTAACAACTGCCTAAATTAAAATCTTATGCGTTTAGGAATAAGTTCATTTAATTTCCATCACTGCACACCTTGGGGACCCCAGGGTAAATTTAACATACATATAAAGCAGACTATTTTCAAATAAGTTCATTTCATTCATCTTTTCCCTCATCAAAGGGTTTCTGATAACAGTTAATTCCACTAGTAAAATCAATCTGTAATGGAAGGGCATGGAATGGGAATGGAAAATACAGTCAATGATTTACCAGTCTCTCTCACCAAAAATGAAAAGTTGAACTCAACAAATTAAAACCATGATTAAGTTTTCTGTTTTACTGGTGTTTACTGGTGTTTTATTGAGAGCTACCATTAAACATCAATTTTCCACTTTCTTTCTAGGTTTTATTCTTCAGTAATGATACCCAGAAATTATGACATTATTACGTGCTCCTCATTGCTCCCTCGCAACCCAAAGTGACTGGTATCTTTTAGGAAACATGCATTTAGCCACGAGTAGCACCCTGTAATAAAATACATTATTACGTGCTCCTCATTGCTCCCTCTCAACACAAAGTGACTGGTATCTTTTAGAAAATATGCATTTAGCCATGCGTAGCACCCTGTAATAAAACAGTTTTGTAATCCTTGTGAGGTACTACCTAAGGAAGTTAGGATATCAATTTTGTTTCCACTTGTCTGGAAGTATAGGGAGAAGTATAATCTAAGAATTGGTGAATATTTTCTGTGAGGTACTACCTAAGGAAGTTAGGATATCAGTTTTGTTTCCACTTGTCTGGAAGTATAGGTAGAAGTATAATCTAAGAATTGGTGAATGTTTTCTGCGTAAGACTAGTAACTTATTGCATACTGCTGATTACCAAGGGCAGTGTTTGTTCTAAGGAATCTTAGGATTAATCATCATCTCACTGGTTACTGCTCTGCAATCTACAGCCATTTACACCAGACACAAAAGAGGATGGATTGTACAATACTATCAATGGTGAATGGAGAATTACAACAGATTTAACATCCATATTGGGAAGTATAAAAGTCTTCAAGTGCCTGGCAGCTGAGGACCAGATTATTTGCAATTAAATACTGAAGTAATTGTAATGGGAAGGAAAGAAGGACACAGGACAGTCATGAGGCCCTTTCCTCCATGTCACTGATTTTTTTAAAGGGAGCATAGAAAGCCAGTCAGAATTAGTATGCACTCCTCAGCTTGTCTTTTAGAAAACATGCTAAGCAAACCAGAAGAGAGCCAAATCACTGCAGGACAGCATGCTGTACCACCCAGACTGATGACCTTATTTAGCTTGGAGTAGTCAATAAGATCAGGTCGGTGTCTGTGGATAAGTGCACATAATCCAAGGCCATCTTTCCAGCTTTACAACAAAAAATAGAATGGAAAAAATTAGTTAATAACGTCATGGCATTTTACAGTTTGATCCTTGCTCAAGGCTTAAAATCAAGCAGGAACTCTCCTATCAAATCTTGACACATGTTCTGTCAACTCTCATCCCTCTGAGCTTTTCTGTTACTGTGCTCTTTTTCCTGTACTATGTATCTTAGCCTACAGCCCATACACACTTTAGGACTCCATAATACTTTTTAGGCAGTGTACGTTATGTGCAACAGTCCCTGATTTAAATTGCTTAATTTGTGCAGTGTTCCAGGATAGCTCAGAGTACACACTCATCAATGAAAGTGCATAATCTCCTATTACACTTAGAGCATGTTTGTGAAAAAATAAAAGGAGAGCAAACCTGCAGTTACTTGCATTTGCTGAAGCAATTGACTGTTTCTGTGTCAGTCATTTCAGACAACACTGAAGCAATTGACTGTTTCTGTGTCAGTCGTTTCAGACAACAGTCATTTCAGACAATTGTCATTTCAGACAATTTTAATGGCACAAC